ATGAGGGTTTAAGACGGTTTAAGGTTATGAGGGTTTAAGATGTTGAGGGTTTAAGGTTAAATATGAATGAGGGTTTAGGGTTATAAATGAGGGTTTAGGGTTATGAATGAGGGTTTAAGAGGGTTTAAGGTTAAATATAAATGAGGGTTTAGGGTTATGAATGAGGGTTTAGGGTTATGAATGAGGGTGTAAGAGGGTTTAAGGTTAAATACAAATGAGGGTTTAGGGTTATGAATGAGGGTTTAGGGTTATGAATGAGGGTTTAGGGTTATGAATGAGGGTTTAATAGGGTTTACACTCTGCCTATAACGATGGATAGTAGAGCAGAGATAGGTGCAGCAGCTCGAATAGCTTGAAGAGCTGTAGGAGACAGTATGTCTCTGAGTCTCTGAATATAATATAATACTGTCGTCCCGCAGCAACCAAAGTAAACAGCCATCCCTATATAAAGTAAAGAGCAGGCTTCAGAGTAAAACGACCGAAAAAAATCTTCATCAGTAACTGTGCTTAAGCCTCCCTCTCTCTCTGATGTTAGGGTGTATAGGCAGTTCTCTCCTAAAGATAAAGTTTGTTGTATCGCTTCATCTTCTCCGCTGCTCTGTTGTTCTTCTTGCTGCTGATCCTGCTGCTGCTGTCTTTCTTGCTGCTGCTGCTGCTGCTGCTGCTGCTGCTGTTGCTCCTGCTGCACTTCCTGCTGCTCCTCCTGCTGATTTCCGAACACCAAAGGTAACGGCTGCTCCACAAATGCCTGAGAATTCTGCTGCTGCAGCTGCTGCTGAGATCGCTGCTGCTGCAGCTGCTGCTGCATCTGCTGCTGCGACCGCTGCTGCTGCAACTGCTGCTGCTGCGACCTCTGCTGCTGCAGCTGCTGCTGCGACCGCTGCTGCTCAGGCGGAGCGGGCAAAGAATCGGAATTTTGTTGCTGCACCTGCAACTGCTGCACCTGCAGCTGCAGCTGCTGCTGCTGCTGCTGCTGCTGCACGAGCTCCACCTGGGAGTGCTGTAGCTGCAGCGAGGGCTGGTGTTGCGGCGACAGCTGAGATAGCTGCTGCTGCAGCATCTGCTGCCGTTGCATTGCCAGCTGAGACTGTTGGTGCTGCAACAGCTGCAGCGCGAGGCGAGACTGCTGGTGCTGCAGCTGCTGCTGCAGCTGCTGCACCTGCAGCTGCTGCGTGCGACGCGAGCGCTGCATCTGGATGGCGAACTGCCGCGCGGAGTTTTGCATCGTCAGCTGCTGCTGTTGCTGCTGCTGCTGTTGCTGCTGCTGCTGCTGTTGCTGCTGTTGCTGCTGCTGCTGCTGCTGCTGCTGCTGAGTAGATGCAGCAGCAATTGAAGTAGAGTTAATAGAACGAATAAGAACAAAGAGATCAGTGGCAATGAAGCCTTCTAAAGGTATAAGAAAGCCGGCAACAAGTAGATCAGCAATAAGAACAGCAGCAGCATAAACAAAAAAGATAAGAAAGAGAGGAGCACCTGCGAAGTAAATAGTTTCTAAGACAGATGGTGCAGCTAAACTAAGTGCAGCAGCAGCACCAAGCAGCAGCAAACAAAAGCCTTCAGCATTTGGGAATAGGCTTGCAATCCCTAATAAAGATATATACATTATCCCTGTACCTCCTCCGACAAATATCATTGCAGGTATATAAGCAGTAAAAGAATAAGAAGAAAACCCTAGCAAGCCCCAGCCACAAAAACGTAAAGCACCTCCTAATAGAGCTGTTATCTTAGGGCCAGCAATATCTACAAGCACTCCTGCTAGTGCAAATGCAGCAAAGTGTGCAGCATAAGAAGAAGCAAATAAGTATTGAAAAGCTTGCTGCTGCTCTAAACAAGCTACTTCTCCAGATCTATCCACATGCTGCTGCTCCTGCTGCTCTTGCTGCTCCTGCTGCTGCTTCTTCTCTTGATATTGCTGCAAATCTTCTTCGCTGCAGCGCCAAGCAAATGCACCTGAACGAGCTAGCATACACCCTAGGGGCCCCCATCCTAAGAAATCGCTAAAAGTAAAAGCAATGAATAGACTATATATAATTAGCAATATATATCTATTTATCCTGTAGGGTGTTGCCTGCGTTGCTGCAGGGTGGCTGCTGCCAGGTAAAATATAATATAATAAATTGCCTGCAGAAGAAGATGAAGAAGAAATGCTTGGGCTCCTCAGCCGCATCCTGATAGCCTAATCAACCCTAAACCCTAAACCCTAAACCCTTGTTTCTATACTTCAAACAACTAAGCAAACAAACAAGACTTCATGTAATTAACCCTAAACAATAACCCCGCCCCAACAGACAAACCCCAGAACAAACCATGCCGATTGAGCCGCTGGCTCTAAACCCTAAACCCTAAACCCTAAACCCTAAACCCTAAACCCTAAACCCTAAACCCTAAAAGGGACAGCTATAGATGTAGGTTGCAAACAAACGCACATCAGCAGAGAAAACCCTCCTCTTCCGTTGCTCCCAGATGATAGGGCTTACTCCTAACAGTTTAGGGTTTAGTGTTTAGGGTTTAGGGTTTAGGGTTTAGGGTTTAAAGGTCTTATGCTGCTGGGCCCTAGGCCTAAGGGACAGCAGCAGCAAACAGACTCAAACCCCCTGCAGCAGCTAGAGGTATATAGGAGAGACCTCAGCAGCAAATATTCAGAGTGAAAAGAAGAATTAAAACACAAGAAAAGAAGAAGAAAAAAAAGATAAAAGCTGCTGCTGCTGCTGCTGCTGCAGCAGCAGCAGCAGCAGCAGCACCAGTGGACCCCCCTGGGTGTGTATCTGCCTGGATATTTTGAGTTATAGGCCTTTTTCTTCTTGTTTTTTATCATTTGTTAAGTTTATTTGATTATATATTTAATATATTTAATTAAATTAAACAAAGAAAGAAAATATATTAAAACAATGTAATAGCTGCAGCATCCACGCCTATACCTGCAGCAGCAGGGGGAGGCCCTATAACTTTTGTTTATTTGTTTGTTTGATTGTTTGTTTGTTTTATTTTTACTCTTTTATTCTTTTATTCTTTAAAAAGATAATTAAAATGCTGTTGAAATGAAGCACTGGCAGCTAGCAACAGCTCTAAACCCTAAACCCTAAACGCACTTGCGCACACCCGCTCGATCCCGCCAAACCCTAAACCCTAAACCCTAAACCCTAAACCCTAAACCATAAACCCTTAGTTTTGAAGCCTCTACCCTTCGAAGGGTTTATTAATAGATTACAGAACCGAAGATAATAGAGAGCAGCTACGGCTGCATCTCTTTGTGTGTGAATAGAGAGTAGGAGCAATTTCAATTGCTGTTGCTGCTGTTGCTGCTGTTACTGCTCCTGCTGCGGCTGTTGCTGCTGCTGCTGCTGCAGCAGCAGTTGCTGTTGCTTCTGCTGCTGCTGCAGCAGCAGCAGCAACCGGGGTACAGTTAGGAAGCGCCTTTAAGGAGGAGGAGACAAGGGGTTTGTGCTTAACTTGCTGCTGTTCTTCTCTTGGGGTCTCTTGCTGCTGCAGAGACACCGGAGAAACTTCAGCAGCAGCAACTGCTGCTGCATGCAGCAGCAGAAGTGGCTGCATGCAGCAGCAGAAGCGGCTGCAGGCAGCAGCTTTTTCTGCTGCAGCTACTAAGCCCCATCAACAGGTGTACATACACCTGAAAAGGCAGCATATATGTCTACTAAACCCTAAACCCTAAACCCTAAGCACTAAACCCTAAACCCTAAACACTAAACCCTAAACCCTAAACACTAAACCCTAAACCCTAGCCTAAGAAGCCTAAACGGGGAGGCACTTCTTGTTATGCTCTCACTCTTTTTTCTCTAAGCATTTCGGCGGTTTATATGCTGCAGCACAAACGCACAAGAAGCTGCTGCTGCTGCTCCTGCGGCAGCAGCAGCAGTAGCGACAGCAGCAGCAGCAGTGGCGGCAGCAGCAGCAGCAGCAAACCCTTACACAAGTCCCTAGCACACCTGCACCTCACCCCGTGTCTCTCAAACCCTAATTCTTAATGTGGTTTAGGGTTTAGGGTTTAGGGTTTGTACACAAACGAAAAAAAACAAACACAAATATCTCTGCTTGCTGCAACACGGCGTCCCCGCAGCAATAGCAGCAGCAGCAACGGCAGCAGCAGCAACAGCAGCAGCAGCAACGGCAGCAGCAAACGGCTGCCTTCTATGTTTCTTTTCGTTGTTTCTTTTATCTGTGTCTGTCGCTGCATTTGTCTCCTTCTGTCTTTTGTCTGTCTCTTTGTTGCTGTCTTTCAACCTCAAGGAGAAGCAAACAAAGAAAAACAAATAAAATAATATTAATAATAATATTAATAATAATAATAATAGTAATAATAATAATAATTATTATTATTATTATTATTGTAATATTTATAACAATATTAATAACGCTGATAATAAGAATAGTAATACGGATAAGAATAATAATAATATTAATATTTATATTAATATTAATATTAATATTAATATTAATATTAATAATAATATAAAGCGCAGTGTGTAATATTATATTAATGCAGCCCCTCAAGAAAGTACAAATATAAATATAATGAAAGTAAAAAGAATAGAAGGGATAGACTAATAAATATATAATAATAACAATAATATAATAATAATAAAATAATAATAATAAATATATAATAACAATAAAATAATAATAATAATATAATAATGTATAATAATAATAAAATAGTAATAATAAAATAATAATATAATAATAAAAATCAAAATATGCTGCTAATAATAATACTAAAGACATATAACGTAATGTGTAAGATAATATATTTACATAAAATAATATAATATAATATAACATAACATAATGTATAGTATAATATAATATAGTATAGT